GTTGAGGAACGATCGGTCCGCGTGTACACTGTTACCCGCCAGCAGCGCCGTCTTCTTCTGCGGGATGTGCTTCTTGATATAAGCGAGTAGATCGTCGGCAGCCTGCTCAGGTGTCGTCGTCGACTTGATGACCGCCGCTGTGAGGCCGCTGTCGCCGTGTGTCTTGGTGCACCATTCGTCCATCTGCGCCATGCGTTGCTCCGTCTGGTGCACCACGCAGCCCCAGCCCTCGGGGTCAACGACTTGCAGGTTCCCGGTGGTGAGGATGCAGAAAATCTCGATAATCTCCTCCTTGTCCGGATCCAGTCCAGTCATCTGGGGATGTGTTAGTCAGTCTAGGGTTAAGAGTGGCATGCCTAAGCTTGGGGCGCATACCTCGCAGTCAACCCAGACCAAGGGGCCGTCAGATGCAGACTGCATCTTCAGGGCGGGAGCTTTGTTTTTGAGGGAGTTGAGAAGATTCATGGTTCAGGCGGGAATGATGTTAATATTGATTCTAACTCTTGTCAACTTGAGTTGCACTCCGTCAACAGCAGGATCTTCTTTTGGGCTTGCTAAGCTTGACTGAGCCACAACTTCACCAGAGTTGGAGTACAAGGTGGGGTGCAAGCTGCAGCATCCCAGCTGTGGCTTCCAATTAGGTATTGAATGGAAGGAGGACCAAGATGCACGGAGTACCATGCGATCCTAGCAGTGCCAGCCGGGCGTTCTCAATGCTTCCTTTCGTTCCATGGCCACCACCTATGTACATGGTAGGTACTCACTGCTATTGCTATTGCTAGTGGGAACTTCTCCGGGCATGGTTTCTACCAGCGTATAATTTCATACGAAGTTGTGAAGATGGTTCAGGTAAACCCTGGGAATACAGGATGCATCAGCAAAATACCTGGCATATCAAGGCTCCTACTATTGCTGCCCACTCCAATTGCCCGGGCAGGGACGTCTCACCGCCAGAACTGCCCGCAGAGAAAGATGCCCCACATCGGCAGAGGAGGAAATTCAACCGACAGCCGCTGATAAGATAAGTAAACTGCCAAGAACCAAGGCAAGTACCCCAGACCACGATTCAAATAAACCATCATTCATTGGACCTGCCCTTCTACATGGACCCCACTTTCCATGTTGGAGCCAGTACTCCAAGTAACATAAACCTCCTTCTTTCACCTGACTGACTTCTGTTCATTGACAACATCCCTCATACCCTATTTACCAAAAGACAGCGTGTTTTCCGAGTTTCTCAGAGAATATAAACTTGTCAAAAAAGTAAGAAAAACTTCAACACAGGGTTCTCCTGTCACCGACAGATCACACTTCAACGATAACGACCACGACATGTCGTCCGTCAAGAAGTCGGGTTCGCCCGTCGCGGTCCCTGAAGATGCAACTCCAGTGCCACCTCAGAAACCTCCCATGTCTGTTTCGCCACCTCGCATTCTCGTCATCGGAGCTGGCTCTCGCGGACAAGCATATGCTCATGCTAACGAGACCTCTTGCAACGGTATCGTGGCTGCTGTCGCTGAACCCATCACCTACAAGCGTCAAAGCTTCGGTCGAACATTCGTTTGGGGCTCCAACACTCCCCAAGAAGGGCAACAGTTTGCCGACTGGACCGAGTTCGTAACATACGAGACACGCCGCCGAGAGAGAGAAGCTGCTGGTGAAGATGTACCGCCTGGCGTTGATGCCGCCTTCATTTGTGTTCTTGACGAAATGCATCGCGACGTCCTCGTCGGACTTGCTCCTCTGGGACTGCACGTCATGTGCGAGAAACCCCTCGCCACGTCTCTTGCCGATTGTCTCGACATGTATCAGGCTATGAAGCCTCCTGCTGGCCAGGAGCCCAAGAACGTCTTCTCTATCGGCCATGTACTTCGTTACAGCCCACACAATATGCTGCTTCGCAAACTCTTGCTCGAAGACCGTATCATTGGCGATATCCTCAAGATTGTGCACACCGAGCCGGTCGGTTGGTGGCATTTTACCCACTCATATGTGCGTGGCAACTGGCGGAACGAAAAGACTACGGCACCAAGTCTATTGACAAAGAGCTGCCACGACATTGATCTCCTCCTTTGGCTTCTGAGCGCACCAGTAAAGGCTGGAACAGGCACTCCTCATCTACCGTCCACTGTCTCGTCAAGTGGTTCGCTCCACCTCTTTAGGAAAGGTCGCAAGCCCGCCGCCGCTGGAAATGCAACAAATTGTATGTCGTGTCCTCTAGGTGATTCAGGCTGCAAATTCTCGGCCAAAAATATCTATCTCGGCCAGGATCTGAAAGGTCTCGCTTCTGGCAACACCGATTGGCCAGTCAGCATTGTAATGCCGGAGATTGAAGATTTCCCGATATCTGAGCGAAGCAAAGTCCTGGCATCAAAGCTTGCTGAAGATTATGATGATTCCACCCCCAAAGACGTCGTCGCTTCGCGGAACTGGTTCGGTCGTTGTGTCTTCGACGCGGACAACAATGTCTGTGATGACCAGACTGTCACCATCACCTGGGACGATGCCACGGACGGTACCCCAGAGTCAACCAAACAATCCAAATCAGCAACTCTGCACATGGTCGCACAAACGAAAAAAATTTGCGAGAGGTACACCCATATTTATGGTATTGATGGCGAGATCTATGCCGACGCCCGTACAATCACCATAGAGGACTTCAACACGGGTGCCACCCAATCATTCCACCCAACCCTCGAAGACGCCGGCCACGGCGGTGGGGACAAAGGTCTCGCACGTCAATTCATACTGGCGGTGGACAAAGTCAAGAACCACGGCTGGACGCCGGAGAAAGCGCAGAATGAATTCATCGGCTGCTCACTTGAGGAGGTAATTCGCTCCCATGCGATGGTATTCGCGGCAGAGGAAGCGCGGACAGGGAAGAAGGTGGTCGACTGGCAGAAATGGTGGTCACAAAAGGTTGCCAACACGACAAGTGCTTAAAGGCAAAGCCAGTTTACCTTCGGCGCGTCAGTCTGCGGTAGGGGAGGCATCGGCAGCGGGCGGTCGGTCACAGCCCCGAATGGCATCATTTACATGGCAATCGGAGTCAACTCCGGCCCTTGATTGTTGGGTTCATACTGTCTCTTCGTTGTCGGGGACGTAAAGCCGACGGATTCTCCCCGGTTCTCTTAGCTTGCGAAACCATTTCGATTTCAATTGCTAGCCCCGTGAGCTACGCCTCAGTGCGAGATATGTTACGGTGTAGACGGGGTCGTCTGCCGAGGCAGCCAAGGCAGTCCCTTGTCGTTCAGCTCCAAGTCTCCACCGTCACTGCACCCAACATATCTCGTCTGATATTCAGATTGTGGTAGCGTCGAATTTCCACGTTGTCCGATCTGGTCTGACCAACAACATCGTACTGATCTTTGGAACGACGATCGCCACTGGCCTACTATTGGCTTAAGCGTTCTTTGAGGCGCATCTTGACAGACAAGAGCCGCTTTTACCGAAGCTTTCTCTCACCGATCCTATTGCCTTTACAAAGTCCGGGCCAGCCCGACGGCAGCTCCCCGTGTACCTTCTCTGAAGATGAGGAAGTAAAATGAATCTTTCGTACTTTTCCCGGCGGTACAGTCCGCGCTAGACTTTCCTCACGTTGCCGTTCTGTCTATCGACACGGATCAACTTCGTGACACATCTCGCCGATCCACGACAAGCTTTCCGGTAGGAGCTTCTTTTGACTTCGCACAACACGAGGAACCTAGCAAATGTCGCCATTGAGATTTGGAATAAAGGCCAGCAAGCTCGTGGCCGCCTCTCCACAAATGCCTTTTCATTATTCCTGGGGAGATTGCTCCCCGGCGGCCAATTTCCCCGACAGCCTTTGATAGTGCTCGCCATACTTGTGGACCGACGATCTTGCGGTGATCGCGATTCCTTGACTGTCAAATGCACATCGCGGTCTTCCACGACGAGACTGGTCAAAGTCGATTGCCCGATTACAGCTGCTCTCCCCGACGGTCGATTTCCCCGACAGCGAAGATACACATGCCCGTTCCCTGGTGATCCCTAACCGCCGACTGAGACTTTAGTGTCGCGGTCTATCGCTGCCAGACTATTCAAAGCCGACGTTCCGATCTCCTATGTCTTCCCGGCGGTCAACGTCCCCGTTCCAACGACAATGATACGTTTGGGGCAGTCGGGGGATTCCCGAAAGTTGATTCATCAAGGTTGAGTACGCTCACCTTGGCCTCCGTCAGGCGGTGCATACATGCATGCATACATTCGGCCTTGCCGGAGTTGGTCCCGAGTCCGACATCCCCGCTTGTCGCGGAGCCGTTGCGAAGATTTTTCTGGAACACGGGGCGCCAAAGCGGACAACTCCCCGTTGTTCAGATCAATGTCGGACCGGCGTGCGTGTGACCGCAGGACCCGAAACACCAGCGCGAGCTGAAGCCGCAAGTTGCATGTACTAGGATACGAAATGCCCGCCAACCTCGGGCTATGAGCGATTGCGAGGTATGATTTGATGTTTACACGATCAAGAATCATTGGCCGAGGGAGTTTTCAACTTCGAGGTCTCAGCTCCAAGCCATACACAGTACACTAGGTTGACTTGATGCAGAGAATGCCGCAAGTCCAGCGAGGCTAGTGACCGTTGAGCGGACAGTATTTCTTTGGCAATCCGCAATCGGCCGGATACCGCGGGGTTTCCATACGTACTCGACGCCAAGCGTAGGCAATATAAATTCAAACTCAATTGAGCACTATCTTCAACAAATGCCCCTAGAATCGATCCACAAGGTCACTCAATGCAAGCGGTCAGCTCCCGAGGCTTGCAACGACAGTGCTTAGTGATCCTCGTCACGGTGCCGAGTCAGATGAATGCAGTGAGCAATCGCAAGCCAAGCTTCGTTTCACTACGAGCTCCCCCTCTTCACTGGCGAGCTCATCCTTGTCGCTTACCCGTGTTTGTTGAGACAGATAGATACCTGCCAACCTATCGTGGCAGTACTTTTGGCTGCACTTCGGAGTGGATTCTGCGCCTATCTGTCTGCATGGTTCGGAGGATGGGACTCGCAGGACTGCCTTTCACTCGTACGGACGTAAGACATCGCCCATACAGCAGAAGTGGCGTTACCGCGTCGGCACTGCCAGGCGAACCTTTTTTGTTTTGGCAGGATTTCCCAACCACCGTGCCTCCGTCACCAACTTCCGACCACTTGGGTTCAAGCCAGGACGAGGACTGCGCATAGTCGATGCAGCCGCGCCCGGCTGGGGTGGCACTGGCACCCCACACCGAATGCCGCGTTTAATTCTCACCAAACCTTATAACGCAACAAGACAGGTGGAAACATGCAGGCTGGCTGGCAGGATTGCCGCTTCCTGCGTCAGGTGAGGGACAACACTGTGTTTCCTAAGGCAATGCCAGCTGGCTAGGTAATTTTTCCTACTAGCAAGTGGCCTTTTCATCTCTTCCCTCGGCAGCCGCGAGACACCCCCAAGTCTGTGCGCCAAGGCCAACGGCCGTGACAGCACACCTTCTTAAAGGGACCTTTCATCCCCTCTTCTTACCCCCCCAATCGCATCTTTCAAAGAACGAATCGTGCTTTGACAGAGAATACAATCCATCGGACGACTCCCCGCCCATACTTGTCTCGGTCGACGAAGAAGAAAAGACGAGAGTCCTTTAAAAGAAGACACAGCAAAGTAGCCAACTACAAACTCCCACCAGCTAGCTTTACTTCGTTGCTCGCTCCCCCCCATCATCTGTCAAGCTTGTCAGACCCATCATCGAACCTTGGTACCTCAGCCGTCTGTTCACACCTTCATCGCACATACTTCACAACGCCTAAGCAAAGATGTCGTCGTCCGGTGCTGCTCCCGCCGCCTCCGCATCCGAAGACTGCCCCTTCGGCCCCGTATCCCGGCACATCACAACCCACGACGCCAACGGCCGCGCCGTCTTCTCCGACGCGTTCCCCGTACAAGTCACGCCGGACCCGCTGAAGAACATGTACTTCCACACCTGCTACACAACTTCCGAGTCACCCGTCACAATGGACGACGAAAAAGACCTGGCAGCCTACGCGCCCAACCACCCGCGCATGCCGTCCCTGCACCTCCCTTCGGGCTCCGTCCTGCGGGTGGTAGACTTTGGTCCGCAGACAGGGCCGATGATGCACCGCACCGAGTCGTGCGACTACGGCATCGTGCTCAAGGGCGAGGTGGAGTGTTACCTGGACGACGGGGCGAAGCGGACGCTGAAGGAAGGGGAGATCATGATTCAGAGGGGCACGATGCACGGGTGGAAGAATGCGACGGATCAGTGGGCGCGGGTGATTTTCTGTCTGCAGCCTGCGGAGCCGGTGAGAGTTGCGGGCAAGGTGATGGAGGACGATATCCCGTTTATGAAGGTTTCACCCGAGAGGCAGGCGGATTATGAAAAGTTTATGGCGGAGCAGGCTGCGAAGAAGAAGACTGAGGAGAAGATTTGAGTCTCGCGAGATCTGAGGGGCTTATTGCTTAACCAGGGGAGAAAGTATTGAGAGAAGGTGACATACGTCGCGGGGAAGGCAACGGGTTTATTGCATGGAAGCCGGAGCAGATTCCGAGGGATTATGAGTTACGCTTCACGTCTCGTCAACAAAGGTCGAGGCATAGCTGGTCGTGCCGAGTGTATCTAAGTACCAGCATTATGTTACAACTCATTCATATGCCATATGCCTCATCCCTCGTCGCCTTGGTATACGGGGAATATCTCTTGTTTGATACCATCACCCAAGCCCATGGGAGGGATCTTGGATTGTTGCAACATCCCTGTACCCCGTGTAAGTGATGCCGGCGGACCACTTTTTCATGTGTGCCGAGGTGTCTTTCGCCAGAAGAGGCTTCCTTCTTACCGCTAGATCATATGAAAATTTCACTATCCCGTTGCTCATGGTTGGATCTAATTGAAGATCGCGAGGTTACGGCCAGAGGAGCAAGATACTCCAGCGTGGCACAGTGCATGTGGCTGGTGCTGATTGTAGCATCATCGGCGGTCCGTGATGGGGTCATACTTTCTTCTTGTCAGACTTGCTATTTCTTATGACGCTCTGTCCCCGAGAAAAGAAACGAAAACACACAGAAGAAAGGAGATGTTGAAGACTGATCACGATAATGGAGGAAAGCCACCTTTCGCAGACTTTGATTTTGGCCGCAAGGTAGGTAGCCTTCAAGTTGCATGCTCGGAGAGGTAGATTTCAATCTATTGGTCGATGGCTAGCTTATCTAAGCACACTGAGCTGCTCCGAGCTGTTCCTGTCCGAGACCTAAGCTTGGCACCCTGGGTGCCTTCTCTTGCAGGTGGTACGGAATACCAGGTACTTACTTTGGCACCCTCGAAAGCCGGGAGGAAAACCAGTATTCTGGGGCACTCGCACCATTTTCTGGAGTTTGATGAACTGCGGTTTACTTTACTCCCAACGATATGGTGATAGAAAGAGACGCGCACCTCCAGCTATTGAGATAAACCCCCCACTAGCCATAAGTTGTCCAGACCTGAGGTGGCCCTTGCCCCCGCCTCGTCGAGGAACCTGAGGTATCCACTACCCCGAACGCAGCACCCCTGATCCACCCCGAGAAAGTGGGCCCAGCCACCGGGGTTCACCAAAAGAAAAAATAAAAAACGAAAATTTCGACATGCGCCGCTATCGTCTACATCTCATCCTCCTTCTCATCCTCCAGCCTCATCTCGCAACGTAATAATCATCCCCCCTTTTAATTCCCACCTCAACTCATCTGATCTTCGGCGAAAATCTCAGCGATCATCCCATCTATCGTCTAACCCTCACATCACTTCACTTTTCCCTCAACGAACACATACACCTCTCACACAATGCCTCGCCGCGCCGCCCCAGAACCAAAGCCCCGCAAACCGCAATACTCCCCCGAAAAGCGCGCCCGCATCGCCGTCCTCTCGGAGCTCGGCATGTCCCTCAAAGAAATCTCCATCAAGGAGGAAGTCCCCGTCTCCTCCATCAAGGGCATCGTCACGCGCTACCGCCTCCAGCAGGCGGGCCGCGACCGGCCCCGTCCGGGCCGCCCCCGTATCCTGTCTGATCGGGACGTCAAGACGCTCCTGCGCGTGCTGCAGGAGAAGCCGGCCTGCTCGTACGCCGAGCTGAAGCGCGACGCGGGCGTGACGTGCGCGACCAAGACGCTGGTGCGGTATTTGCAGATGGAGGGGTTGAAGCCGACGAAGCCGCCTGCGGGGGATTCCGAGGAGGAGGCGGAGAGGATGAGGGTTTTGGTTGAGGAGGGGGAAGGGGAGGAGGTGTGAGATGACTTGAAGTCCAACTTCGCCATGGCAATGGTGGCGGAGACATCTACGCATGTCAAGCCTGTGGACAGCAGGCTTGCAATTACGGATATTCATCTGGTACAGATTGACTTGGTTGTGAGTTTCCTCTCATCTCAGAGTTGCGGTCAGCGCTAACTTTGTAGATAACGACGACCATCATTCGAGAAAGAGGCAACGGAAGAGCTCGTTCTCGATGGGAAGGTGATTCTTGGAATCACAGCCTCGGCTCCTGTTTATGAGCCTTTCAAATAGGCTCGAGAGAACCGTAACCCCAGCAAGGCTGCAACATTTGCGCCGCTTTCTATCAACAGGCATGTATCAGCTGGACGGCGCTTGGTTTTCATTAGAGAGAGGCCTGATGGTTTCCATCAGAAACTTGCCGCAACAGACGGTGACTCACACTGAGGCGTGCTACATTACGGCGTAGCCAAGTAGTCTTATGCAGCGGGAAGGAAAAACCACCACACGTCGTGGTGTATGGGGGACGTTAGATAGATAGAAAGGATGGTTATGATATCACGCAGCAATGAAGCACAATGCGGAGTGTAATGTATCTATTATATGGTGCGAGGTTCAGCAAGCGGGGGATTGGCTCTGCCGATAGTGGGCTTCAGGGGGAACAAGGCCAATTACAAGGGACATCGCCAACGACTTCAAAGCTTTCATTATCAATGGGCTGTCACGTAACGCAACCACTTTTCAGAAAAAAAGATAGGCTTACTCACCGGCCACCCATCACTCTGTCCAAATGCTTCAAATAAGCCCCAGTATCACAACTCCCATCTTCACCCTCCCTCCCCTGACGAGCCAACAAGCCTTCCCCCTCGGCCCGAACCCTCCACGCATCCCAATCAACATCCACAACTCTCCGGTCAATAAACACCAGCCTCCCGCCCTCCCCCAACGCCGGCGCGAAGACCTTGACCCAATTCACCTCCCCGTCGACCTCATCCTGCTCGTCCGTCTCCCACTCACACACTTGTGACCTACCGTACCTCTCCCCCGTCCTCAACCCCGCGATGACAAGACACCGAAGCCGAAGACACCCCATCTTCACCGCGGCACGCCGGATCGCGTCTTGGAGGAACCCGCCACCACTACCGCTCGCATACGTCCGCAAATCTAAAAAGAGCGTCTCGAGCCGCGTCATGGCAGTCCAGTCCACCGCAATAAACTCCCCATCAGGAAGTCCCCGTTCGATGACAAAGGCCATCTCGCATCGGAAGTCGGTCACGGCATTGCGGCGCAGCCGGAGCTGGAGCCAGGGATCGGAGGGGACGCTGTTGAACATCAGGTGACGGGGCAACGACAACGACGACGTATCCGACTTTGCCGAGGCCGGGGCTGCTGCTCCCGTAGCACGAGAATAGTCTGCATCCCGCCCGTGACCACGACCAGCTTCACGAAAGACGAGCGCCCCGGAAGCCATGCACCTACCTACCCCATCGTCGTGCCCCCTCGGCCAAACCTGCTCAAAGACTCTTAGCCCGTTCCGTCCGAGGTCGCGCAGAGCCCAGTTCATCGCGGCCGGGAACCTCCTGCCAAGCTCTTTTTCCAGCAGCAGTGTACCGTGCTGCTGGTCGTGTGAACCGTTTACCTGCCTCATCAACGGAAAGGAAGCGTGATCCCCATAACCGTGCCGGACCCCGGACTCGTACTTCCCTCGAACGCTGCCGCCGCCGCCGCCGGACACGCTCGCGCTCTTGGTGTAGACGTCGATCCGCTGAAGGTCGTAAATCTCGTTGACGGGGTCCGCGGCGCGGGCGCAGACGGCCCAGTCTGGAACAAAGAGGGATAAGATGCAGGGGCTGCTACTTACCGTGAGGTAGTCGTAGAGGATGTGCTTTTGGAGTTCGAGCGGTAGGAATGCGAGACGGTCGAGGATGGCTGGTGGGTCTTGGCGTTGTGCTTGTTGGAAACCCATGGTCGTAGGCACAGGAGGATGAGGGAGCATATGTCGAAGGGATTTGTACGGATGGAGGCCCTTGTATGATACCTGTTAGTGTTCTGCCACCAAGGAACTTCTCGAATGTCAGCTGGAATTGAGTACCGAGAACTTGAGATTTGCAAGGATAGCAGGGCTGAAGATGCCCTTTTAATAGATAGCTTGACGTTGTATTGCGGAACGGGCCTTGGGCCACAATCTGTTTTCCTTTGTTTTCGTTCAATTTCTCGACAACGATGTTCCAGTGTGCGAACAATGGCATTGTCATACGAAGGCCGCCAGGCCTCAAAACCTGGAACATTGTAGTAGATACGAGATCAAATGTTCTACTTCAAGGGATGGTTTATCAGCGGTAGAAGACTATCGGGCCTTGATCCAGCATCTGGTCCAACCGCTGGGGAGCCTACTTATGATGTCCTACTCAACAACCATGTTTCCAGATTGTGAGCAAATTTCTAGGAGGACGACGTCTCACTCAGTCAACATGTTTGAAAAGTTGCCAGCCACTTCTTCTGCCTCGATCACTGACGACTAGACTGTCAGAACTCTTTTCATCATGAAAAAGGCCGTTGGTTTGTAATCCTCCCAGCCAGACGAGTTAAAGTCCCGACCGAGTCCGTTGACAAAAGGGTGGTAAAAGATTCGAGCCCAGTGTTCGAGGGGATGGTATTAAAATGGTCTCTCGAAAGGATGAGTCAAACTACAGCTCCTGTGGTTCCCGTCATCTTCGAGATTTCCATTCAAAATTCACTATCTTCGGCTATCCTGAATCAGATTCTGGCAATAGTATCCGTGTACCTCCGTCCTGTTGCAACCACATCCATTATCCCGTCTTCTACATCGAAGTAAAAAGAAAAAAAGAAAAGACAAAATGTTTAGCCGGAGGCTGTGTAAAGGAAACGAGACTCGGATGCGACATCCCCAGCTCGACCAAACCTTATTAGTCAAACAACACAATCTCACATCAGGCCAAGTCGTCTTGATTATATTCAAACACTCAATAGCTTTGTTCCTGACGAGAATCATATTTTGTCTACTCAATAACTTCCCACTATCTTACCCATTAAGGACTTATGCCTTAATTCTCGCGTTCCACAATCTCAAAGCCATCCTCTGACTCAACCCGCTTCTTCTCGCGAGAGTATTCATCATGTTCAACCCAAGCATACTCCGACGACGTATCTAAGACATCGGCAACACCCACCTTTCAATCAGTCTCTCACACCCCTCTCACTCAATCGTAATTCTAGGGCGAGCTGTGCTGATACTCGAACTACGACGCCCGCGCCGCAGACTCACCTTGCTCATCCACTTCACCACCTGCCTTCTCCTCCGATGTGTATTCCGGGTATGTCTCACCGGCCGTAGGCATATCTCCGGCTACCTTCGCAAATGTGTCGGGTGTAGTTGTCTCGGTCTTCTCGCCAGCCTCAGGTGCCTTGCACTCGAGCTCGAAAGCATCACTGCCACTCGACGAATCCCAACCCTCTCCGCCCCTATACTCACCACCGTGAGCATCGTCCCAGCCCCCGAACGCGACTCCGGGGTACCGATGCCCACCGCCACTCTCTACATCAGGCATCTCGTAGTCGTCGAATCCAGGCACCGGGTATCCCATCCCGTCTCCAAAAGCATTCTCAGACCCTTCGAGAGCGCCAAGATTGGCGCACTCCCACCACGCAGCCTCCCCCTGCTGTAACCTGTCCTCGCAGAATCTCGCTTCGGTGATCAGGCCCAGATCGATCAACAAGTCAACCACGTCGTACTGAGCGCCCTCCTCTTCCTGGGCCCACGCCAGCAGCCGCATCACACACATAAACTCCGTCGGCTCGGCATCACGGCTCCATTCGAGTAGGCGACAGCAGATGCGAGCCCAGGTCGCAATCCACTCCACATCCAAAGAGCCCGCCGCCTCGCGGAACTCAATCGTATGGTCTTTCGTGGGGTACGTCGTCCGTGTGCCGTTTCCATCCTGCGGGGCGAGATGTTCGAGAGAGTAGAAATCATAGGCTTTGAACTTGTAGTTGATTTGCTTGGGGAGAAAGGCAGGCGTCATCAACTGCCCAACCTGTGCGACCGTCATGTCAGCACCGAGGAGATCCCTGACGCCAGACATGACGTCCCATCGAGACGGCTGGTTGACTTCCACACATTCGATACTTCCTCCTTGGCCTAGGATGTACCCGTCCAAGAAGTCGGGATCTCCGCGGATATCTTTTCGCATCGTTCCGGGAACACGAGCGTAGCGTCTCTTGATTGGGGGAGGTCGAGGCCGTGGTGGGATTACGCCCTTGGTTGCAGAGCTGCGGTAGTTCTTCGGCATTGGTACAGGAGCTTCGTATCTAAGTGGAGGAAACCCAAATGGCGAGGTTGAGCGAGCTTCGGAACTCTTTGGGTCCCTGACTTCGGGAATGGCCGGTCGATGCTGCCATGGTTCGTGGCCTGTCAGAAGGGCCTCATCGTCTTCTTGATCTAAGTTCAACTCGCGAATCATCGTCTCTGAGGTCGTGTCCACCTCAACTGAATCGCCAAGCCAGCGGTCTCTTCCCAGAACTTTCATCTTCTTCAAATCCCGTGGGGCAATGTCTTTGTCAATAGTCGCACCTGCAGGGCCTTTGCCCTGTCCCAGCGGTGTAGCTTCGTTCACTCGAGCAGACTGGCTGTAGGCGAGGGTAGCGCGCCAAGGAGGATGAAGTCGACTAATAAGAGGGTCGGCAGCCCATAAGAGGGCAGCGAAATGCCGTAAAGTTCTTGCGTCGATTCTTTGCGTCGGTCCTACACCCACATGAACGTGGAATCCACAGCTAGGATTCACTCGGCATCGGAAGTTAGTAGTGATTACACTTACCGCCAGACGAACCATGTCAAAAGACATATTCATGTTGTACATAGCCGGTGATATCATTTCGACGCGCTGCCAGCGGTACCCGTCGACGTGGTCAGCCTTGAGAGAGATGTCTGTCTTTAGCTGGAACGCGTCAATGGCCTTTTTACTCTGCCTGCTCTGCACAGAGCCGGACACACCGCATTGACCCTGGCCATAAACCGGCAACCCAGCTTTAGCTAAGGCGTCACCAATGCTGTGGAACACAAAGTCCTCGTCCCAATCGTACGCCGTATGCGGAAGGCCGTGCTTATCGATCCCATCATCCGGGGGAACTACGACAAGAGGCTGTAGTTCATGCTTGATGGCATGGTCGGGGTCTGTTTCCCCCTCGCGCACGAAGGCAACGAAGAACTCGAGTTCTACGCCAAATGACACTCGCGGAGGTGTGGTTTGTGTTTGGCGTTTGGTCATGGTGGACTTGGGTGTATCTTGTGAAGTCAGTTGGTGAAATGTACAATGTTGTGCTTGTGGGTGCGATCAGTCAATGATGCAAATTGGGACGAATGAATGATATGAGGTAGGTATGTGTTGCGAAGAGCTGAACTGCTGTCATACAGGCGGCAGTAAGTTGGAATATATATCGTAGTTTCCCTCAATAGCAGTATTCACTATGAAACCATTCCGATATAGAGACAAAAGGAATTGTCTTTAGCAGTTCCGTGGAACAGAAAGCTGATAAAACAATGGGGACAAGGGATGTTTGACCGCTTTCAGGACCTTTCCTATTGGCGTTGACAAAGGCATGTGTTAGTGAAGATTTGCAAGCTTGGGACGATGCGGCATACCTCAAAGAAGGCCAATGGGAGACTGTCACAAGCCCATTGTCGGCCATGATGGTCGGCCATAATGGTGATAGGCCGGTAGTCAACGCTCAAAGCAGAGGGGACAGGGAATTGGGGGGAATCAATTCTTCATTTCTTTTGACGTCGTCTGGACTGTCTTTCAATCATGCCTAAAACGCGAAATGCAGAGCAAAAGCAACATGGGGTGACATCACCCGTCCCTGTAACGCACTGACTCCTCCTAGAACTTCAAAATGCCATACGGGTGGGAATATCCATCGTCTCCATCGCATAATTCCACGTATTCCTCGTCAAAAAAGATTAGGGAGCCGCGTGGTAAGCACGCAGACCGGGTAGTAGGGAAGGTGATTACAGAGAAGCGAAATACCGCTCAAAGCCCGCGATTGTCAATCATGTCGCCGCATGAAGCAATCGCGGCTCGCAGTTTACCACAGCCTAATAGAGTGCAGAATCAATCTAAAGCATGTAGGCGAGGAGACCAATGGCAGCGACAGCAGCAGCGTTGCCGACGTGGGCGGGGTTCGCAGTAGGAACAGCCCAGGCGGAAGAGCTAGAGCTGGAGGCGGCGGGAGTAGTAGCGGCGGTATTAGTTCCTGTGGGAGCGCTGGTAGCAGAGGCGGTGGTGGTGGTAGAAACACCAGAAGCCTGGTCGGCCTGGGCGTTAATGGTACCGCACTGGGACTTGATGGTGTCGGTGCAGTTGGTCTGGCCGCGAGCGTCACCAACGTTGGCTGTGATGCAGTCCTCGAAGGCCTTCTCGCAGATGAAGGTGGGCATGGTCTGCTCGTAGTACTCAAGGCCGGGGGCAGAGCCGTTGGGGCAGAGGCAAGAGTAGACAAGGGTGGTCTATTGAGTAAGAGTTAGCCATGCTGCCCACGAGCGTCGGCCTCTTTGAATTCGGGCCGGGGTGATCAACAAGCAACTAGTGCTCCTGGTCTAGCATAGGAAAAAAGAGGAGAACTTACAGAATCGCAGTCGTTGGTGGTGGGGTTAGGCTCGCAAAGGACCTTGCAAGTGTTGCGCTCGGCGACACACCAGCTGGCTGTGGAAGGAAAAAAGAATTAGTCAATGCTCAGTGGCTGTAATCATACGGCAAAGCCGGATTGCCGAAGATGATGGCATGATTCTCCCGGTTGACTTACCTCTCTGGTTCACGGAGACAGTAGCAACGTTGATATCGGCAGCAGTGTAGACCTTGCGCTGGGCAGAGACGGCAGTGAGGGCCGAGAGGGCCACGATGGCGAGGGAAGTACGCATGTTGTCTGTTGGTGATGTGTAGAGGTAGTGGAAATTGTGGTTGGTTGAAGTTGTTGAATGGAGACGGGAGAGAACGTCTGACAATCAATCAAGCGATATTCAGTTCCAAAGTATCGTCGGCGGGGTGAAGATGTTTTGCCTGGATGTGCTTGCTGGTGATGTTTGATGGAGTGTGGACGGGGAAAAGAGAAGAGGTGAGGTCAAAACAGATGGGCGACGCGGGCAACGATGTGGTTTTATTATGAGGCAAGAGTGCAGCAACAGCAGCAACAGCAACAAGAGCGGCAGGTACCTCGGGGTGTGTGTGAGTGGTTCTTTCCCACGCTTGTCTCTCTGGTCGCACTTGCCTTGAATGCGGTAAGCTCAATGGGGGGAGCGGGAAAAAAGTGTGAGGAGTCCAGGTATGAGTGCAGGTGCCAGTGGACAGTTACAAGGGTGGCTGGTGGAACAGCAGAAACCGCACCTTCCCTCTTGCGATCATCAGAAAGACAGGCAACGCATGGTTTGATTGCGCGGTACCTGTCCGGCCTACCGCGTCTTTTTTTTCTCTCTCCCGGTCTCTCTCTCACACATTTTTCCCTCTCTTAGCACCTACCTACCCGACCTCACACGTGCGGCCTTGCCCTCGCTTTCCCTTCTCTTTCCACTAAGGTAGGGACACGATGCCCACGTCCGCCCAGCAGCAATTGCACCGGCGCGTCCGTGTTGGGCACAATACAAGGGTACCACTTACATGACAGTCGCAAGTCGCCGGGCTTGGCCCGTTCTTCCCTCACACAAACTGGAAGGCCTGCAAAGACGGGTACGTACTGGCGGATACAGACGTGTGGCTGGGGTCCACCCATCGCAAATGTCGGGTCACAGTGGGGGAGAGGGGAAACCCAACCAGGAACATATGCACATCCTCCAGTGCAGCCGCCGTATCTCCGTCGAGCAAAGTCCAATCGAGGTTGCCGTTGCGGACTCGGGTTGAATCACGATGGAATTCTCGTGATGAGGTCAGAACTGAGAAGCGACATCGTCACCGAGAGCGTGCGTGAGCGTCAGCGAATTCGCACAGACAGTCCGCGGCTTTGCTGTTATCGGCAGGGGCGGGTCCTCGACCGACTGGCCGGGGAGGTACGTACCGCACATGGCCTTAATCAAGATAGGAACGCTACAAGGTTGCGCATGGCGGGAATTGGATGTGTACCTACGTATCTTCGCTGTGCAGATAATCAAAGTGCATCTTCTCGAGCAGAAGCTAAGACAGCGCCATCCCGCGAAGTGGTGGTGGTTTAATTCTTCTTCTACTTCCCACAGCGCAATTTCTGATACACTTGATCCCAATCTCACAATAACATCGTCAATTGTCAAGTGCCGCAACGGTGGATGCTCATATGAGGGGGGTACTGCGTAGCTAAGCAGGCATAGGGCTGCCCTGTCAGTGGCACCTGGTCCCTGTCGCCTCAGACTTTGGAGACTGAAACTTTCAGCGACCCTCGTGATGGCCTCATCCGCGTCGTCGCATCTTTTCCGCTTTCATTCCATAATTAATACAGACATGGCTCGGTAGTTTGCCTGTGCCACCGCGGCTTATGCCATGCCACCGGCTAGGCTGAGTGTTCACTCATACATGCACACTCCAGGATTCACCGGGAACAACATAATTCTTCCCGCCGAACCTTTGGCTAGGTCAGTCTCTCATTACAGTTCAGTGAGAGATGCTGCCTGACTAAGGAAAGTAATGGGAACGGCTACTGTCAGTCGCGACAGGACAGGCATGGCACGCCGCACGCGAGATTCCATTGACCAGGCGATGGTCGCAGCGCCAAGTGCTATTACAGTCGCATTCCTTGCGGTGCCTGTCTCATAACAAAACAGAGAGAAGCAAAATGAGATAGCGAGAGGTAGAGAGGCACAGAGGCACAGAGGGAAAAAATTGCCCCCCCCCCCCCTCCGCCGGCGTCTCCTTCAGATTTCAGATTTCGCAGGGCCCGGGCTTTTCATCTCGGTCTAACGTTACCCAACACAGGTCCACCTTCCGCTCCTCTATTACTAGGTACTTGACCAGGTACGAATCGTGACTGAGGTCTGGTGTTCTTTCCCTCAACTTCCTCGAGAGTTCCTCCGCTCCTCGGTCTACAGAAACAACACCAGTCCCAAACGGTGTTAGAACGGCAGGAACACTAGCCACAGATATGCAGCTTGGCTGTTGCCGTGGTCCGGGAGACTCGCAGGTTCCATCTCCATTCTTGTGTGGGGGCAAGGGTATCTATTGCCAATCAATTCAACGCAACGCACTTTGCTCCGGGCGCCGTCCCATTTGCTGCTTCTTCTTCGCCCTCGGTCTCTGGCTTCTCCCCGTCACTGTCATCCACTGCACAACCTACCGATGCCTCAGATTCATTGATTTCCCGATGGCTCTTTCATTGCCGGCAGACGTGGAATATTTCCCGGCGGCATCTCTAGAGACCACTCTCGATTACACGGATTGCATCGTCAATCGCCAATTCACCAAAGTGGCAGCTATTATGGTGTACCAAAAAGACGTCTCATCTTCCGAAACGAACCTGGCCTTTACCCGCCCCTTCTCACATCGCATCGCGTCGCCCTCTTCTTGGCGTCGCTGAATTGCCGCCCTGTTCACTGATTCCCTGCCTCACTCTTGTACCATGTTCTGTTTCTGTTTGCGAACCTCCTTACCTTCCAAACACCCCTTTTTTTTTTCCCCTGTGAACAGATGCAAAGTATCGAATGGTGGTACAGCAGACGCCATGAGCCTTCACAAGCCGACATCTCAGCATCATGATCAACCACCTGAACCTCTCCACAGAGCACTCACCTTAGTGTCCGGTTGAGCCCGGCCCCATATCGAGAAACCCTGTCCTGCTGGCCTTACAAATGCCTGCTGCAACGGTTCTTTTTTTTTTTTTTTTTTTTTTTTCGTGGAGCAACCTATGGAGTAGCCCGGCGCATGCGGATGTTCGTGCCCAAAGCTCCAACGCCGTTGGACGCCAGCCAACAATCACGGCACAAAGAGGCCGCCTCGCCAACTCCAATGTCGATTTTGGGCGGATGAAAAAGACAATGAGTCTCTCAAATCGGCAACGCGGCCAGTCCACGCACGCTCTTGCAGTAGCACTAACCCGAAGTAACACCTGGCACCTGTGGCACTGGCAGACCATGGTGAGCTACCTCTCACAATCCTGGGCGCTGAGCTACCACGAGCTCGCTGGCCAATCATTGCAGTCAATTGCTTGCCCAGCTTTCTAGTGATCGTCATCAACAGTGACACTAGTTATCTACACTAGCCATCTGCACCAAACGCCTGGGGTACCGGTATGCGGGAGGGGCTGCTACCAACCCGCCTGAAGCAGAGCTTGCTATCGGATGCAAAAGTCGACTAGGTATTGTCTCTCACGGCAACGTTCATCCGCTTTCGATATGTTCCAGTTTCCAACAGGCGACGGTTGGGCAGCAGAAACGGTCTCTTGTTCAATTCAGAGTACATTGGTGATTCACTCATGGCCAGTACCATAGGTATTGTCTTCCAGCCAACCGCAAACATTCTGCATGTGTCTGTCGCACCGGCTATGACTAGCCAACCGTCACTTACATCGGACCATCTGCAGCGTCTGTTCGGCCATGCAGATTCTCCGCCTCGTCCAGCTGCATCCATCTCATCACACCCTCCCGTCCTTCGCCAGCCACCCGCGAACCAAGTTTGCGCATTTCTTGAGGCGTCGCCAGAAACTGCTCGCAAAGTTGGCCTAGACCTGCAAGAGGCTGCCGATACGAACTTTGCTTGTCTGTACCCGCTGGCACGACCCCGCCACCAAGCTTACGAACGCATCGCCCAGCCAGCGTCTTTGCCGCCAGCCCTCAGTCTATGGCTTCATCTTCTGTTGAGTGGCTTGGCTTGTTGAGCTGCCTCAGCGATGTTTTCCTCCGTCTAGAAAGTCAATGGATCGGCTTCTGAGGGAGGCCCTCCTAGCGTGCGTTGAAGCTTTTAACGGACTTAATCGAAGAACGATGTTATGCCTAAGCATGGGATTTACGGGATTCCCATCACAAGAACCCCAAGAAGTGATTTTCGGAGCGCCATGCAGCTGCCCCCCAGCGCCGCCAACTTGGCAAGCCGGGGTTGTGGGGGCCGGACGAGGATCCAGGTTCCGGATCTCCGTGCCGTGTCAAGACGTCACCTGTCATCCTGTCGACAAGCGTGTGCCACTTACATGGTCAACACCTGAAGCTTGGATCAAGACACTGCCAAGCTATTGCCGATGACGGGAAGCTGCATGATTCTTCAAGAGCTACAACTTTTTCCTTTGTACGGCGCCAGCAAAACCTGGATACTCCACTCTCTTGGATTCGCCGCCGAAGATGAAATCTGAATTCCTTCGACATGCACCAAAAGGGGTCTCCAGCAGTCGACCGCCGGCTGAAGTTTGTGACCTCATGCTCGCCTCGCAACAGGCTCGACTCCAACTTCAAGAACATCCTTGACGATGCCCTTCTCGCTTCTGACTTTCTCGCCTCCGCTCTTCACCCACTTATTCCATGCGCCGAGCTGCATACACAGTCCCTCCATGGTCGTACACTTGGCCTGGTATCCCAATCCGCCCTCCTCTGGTCGTCGTCGAGCGTCGGCATCGTTGATAATAGCATTGATGGCACCTGCCACGGAAGCGGGCTGCAGCATGTACAACGGCAATCCGGGTTCCGAGAAGATATTCTGCAACGCTGGCACCTTCCAAAGCAACAAGCAATAGGCCTCTATGCAATGAGCCAAGAGCAGCAAAATCAGTGGCGGCGGATATTGCACGTGAAAGGGTGTCACGCTAACCGACTGCACGAGTGTGTAAAAGTCCTTGAAAACCGGAGGCGGTCCTCCATCTGTGACAAGGAATGGGCGGGCAGCCACTTTGTGCGCGTGAGGGCCGAGCAGGGCTGCTTCGTACTGCAGATGTGCCAGAGCCACGTTGGCCCCATGGACCCAGTTCTGCATAAAGGGCGCTGTGAAGGTAGGGAAACTGGCCATGCGTACTGTCGCTCCAACCAGATAATCGTCCTTGTGGCCGTAAATGGCATTTCCTGGCCGGATGGCGCCGGTGCGAAAGCCCCCTGCCTGCGTGGGATCTTGTGGCACCTGGTTCGCGCTGCAGACGAGTCGCTCGGCTTCGGCCTTGCTTCTGGCATAGTTGGCGAAGAACTCATCGTGAGGACGCATCGGCTTCTTGAAGTCTACTTCATCAAGGACCTGGAAGAAGTTCGTCGGCCACCGACTCCACGGAGCGTTGAAGAATTTGGTGGGTTTCAAGGCCACACTACAAGACGAGGTAAAGACGAGAACATCTGCTCCCGAAGTCTTAGCTGCGGCAAGAACATGGGCGGTTCCCCTAGTGTTGACGAGGGAGCAACGTTCGTAGACCAGCTGGCTACGCTCTGAGGGACGAATGACTGCGGCGGTATGGAATACGGTCAATGGAAGATGTGCTACCGACTGTGGCCACGATCTACCAAATGCGGCAGAGGTTGCTGATTCAGAAGAAATGTCGGCTTGAGCGAAATCAACTCTAGATATCGGACCCTCACTCATGTCGTCGCGGCCAGGCTTACGGAAGTCAATGATTCGAATAGCCTCTGGCGGATGGCCGCGCGCAATGAGCTGAATAGCCAGCTGCCCTCCTACCAGGCCTATTCCATACCATGGTCAGTAGCGATACGTGACGGGTTTCGCAGAATACTTGCCAGAGCCTCCAACAATGATGTACCGACGATCCAATTTTGGCGGTAAGTGCGGAGTCCAGTCAACGGGCTGTTTCTCCATACGCTCAAAGGTACGCTTGATTTTCTCTGGCGTCCATCGATCCGGCGACACCCGCAGAGCCTCAGGATGGATCGTTGACATGGCACGGTTGATCTTCCAAAAATATGCCAGCAAAGCCGCCAGGAAGCCGAAGGCGACCCTCGCCGTCCAAGATTCCAGCACCATGTTGATCAATATCCACCAGTTTCCCTCCGTCCTAGGATTCGGAGCTCCCGTGTCGAACGACTGCTACTGTGAAGTCGGCGCGCTGCAACTCTCTGAACTACACAGATGACGATTTTAGGTGCAGTTGGAGAAGGAAGCTTGTTTTTCCATGACGCAACGCTAAAGGAGGGGGGAGCTGGGAGGCTTTTTATGCCAGATTCCCTTTTCAAGACGCGTTCCTTGCCCGTCGCATCTGAAATTCGAGCCGATCAATGCGCTAAACGCTTTTCTCATGGAAGTCCCAGGGCTTCCCCACCTCGCCGGTCCTTGCGCCGAAATGCCATTTTGCAGTACCGGGGTTCAGTCTGAACTCCTCGGAGCTGGAGTTCGCAGCAGCCGATGCCCCCCATCAGGTGCACGAAGATCGAGAGAGTCAGCGGTTAGCATCTTGAGAAAGATGTTCTTAGCCAACCAATTGCTTGGCAACGGCACAGAAAGGCTTCGGGGCTTTCAAAAGTTCCGAATCTGGATATCTCTTATTCGTATTCTAACCGAGTTGTGTGGGCGTTTAACAAGTGGCCCCCATACTAGAGAATCCCGGCACCGCTGCTGCTCCAACTTGAACCCGCTGAGGAGAGGGCGGGGCCTGAAGCTACCGTTCGGCACGTAGACTTTCGTCCGGGGCGACCCGAAACCCAACGTGGGGTGCACCGGCGTCGCGCGGTCCCGTGTGGTTCGACCTATTGCTCCCAGTCCCAACTTCCCAAGTCCCAAACTGGGAATCGTAGGGAAGCTGAAGCCCTCCACGGGGCTCTTTGCTGCCCTGCTAATGCGCAATATGGACGCTAATTGGTTCCAGGCATCTGTACGATTTCGCCCTCCTCTGTCAGCTTGTTCCCCGCATAGGCAATTTCGTGCTACGCGCAAGACCTGCATCATAACGTGCGCGCGGCGCACGGGAGTGGGCGCTCTGTCAGAACCTTATTGTGCCTCGTTGACGATCCATGCCATAAGTTCATGCTCGTCATCGATGCTATGGCCTATTTCGGTCATGTGGCACGCTAGATTGGATGATTCTTTGATGGGGAAACAGTTTGAGGCTCTTTCTCGAAGAATGATTATCGAAAGCGATGTTTCGGGCCAAAGCCTGGATCTGAGTGCGTATGTATGTGCATTTATAAGTGCTCACCGGAGTATGTTACTGCTTAGTATAAAAAGAAGAAGGAAAACAGAAAGGGTTAGGAAGGGAGGGGAAATACTGACCATATAATACACGCCCTGTCCGGAGTTGAACAGCGCGCCCCTCAGTCAACCCGAGATCTGACTTCGTAGGAGTATTTGTTTTTATTTTGACCATTCGACCACCTCGCACACAGCTTGACCTGACCTCGCCGACCTAGACGGGCGCTGCTGTGCTGGTGACGGGAATGGGATTGAGGGGGGGTATATACCATCGGGTGCCTGAGGTAAGGTAGGTCAAGGAAGGAAGGAAGTAGGGACGTGAAGATCCGAAGGAGCGAGTTCAGTCCCGACCACGCGGGCCGGGCTTGTTGTTTTGGATCACCTCAATCTTCATGCTCTTGGTTAGACCAGCAAACACATATATGTGGATAGTCGACATTCACAAGCTTCATGCAGGTTGATGGCACAGGCGAGGCTGTCCATTGAAAGTCAAATTCAGGCACTATTTCTATTGGTTGAGCAATTTGAACCAGAACATCTCGGTATGGAGTTACGACGGAACGTGTCCAGATTCGTTTATTCTGGAGACTCGTCAATGGCTACCAGAACTAGGCCTACTAAGCACATCGAACTGTTGCCTCTCGCTTGTTACGTTCTAGGAGAAGGGGAAATTGACGATCAAACCGAGTGTCTAAGAGGGAATGCAACTCTCATCCGTCAAACGACGTACGCAACGATAAACTCCTACTTGATTTCCGAAATGGTCACCTTGGTCCACATGTTCTCCTCCACAAAGATGTTATAACTATACGAATCCCACGGCCTCACCGGATCCGCAAGCTCAAAATCAAAGTTGCGCATAAGCTAACCGCGCAAACGTCAGCATTTCGTATCCCTAGTCGATGACAGCCCTAGTCTAGTCACTGTGAACTTGCCTCGAAGAAAGCCTTATACAGCTCCATAAACGCCACCGGTTTACCCGCACACATATACCGCCCGTACCCAAACGCCATCTCCACGTCGCGCTCCATGCTCAGCCTGGCCGCGTCGTCGTCGACCTCGAGAAACCGCTCCGGCCGGAAGAGTTCCGCGTCGGGGCCGAAGAGCAAGGGGGATTTGAGGAGGCCGGGAGCGTTCATGCCGATGGCGGTGCCGCCCGGGATGAACTTGCCGTCGACGGTGTCGCCTTGGGGCGGGACGGTTTTGGGGTAGAGGCCTGTTGCTGGGGCGCGGATTCGGATGCCTTCGTAGATTAGGGCCTGTAAGGGTTTAGTATCGTCATGTACTGAGTATGTATCGCTTGTTGGATGGGGGAGGGGGAGGGGGGATAGGGGGTGATACGCACGCGTAGGAACGGGATCTTGCTGGCTTGGTCAAAGGTAATCGGAGTCGAGACACCAGAGGCGACGGCGTCCCGAATGACGGCCTTGAATTTGTGGTAGATCCTGGGGTTGCACATCAGATGCAGCATTGTGACACGGATTACGGAGGCGGTGGTGTCCGAGCCGGCGACGAGGGCGAAGAGGCCTTCGGCTTCGCATTCTTGCTGCGTCATACCGTTCTTGATCCACGATCCCTGGTCGAATTCGTCAGTACCATCTCCCAGGGCAAAAAGCAGAGTTCGTAAAATGTAGATGGACGTACCAACATGTCCTTCTGAGGCTTCGAGGTGGATTTGAACCTCTCTCCGACGTACTTCTCGGCAATCCTATCACCCCTTTAGTCGCAACTCCTATGGTATGAACGGCTTCCGCGATGAAAGACGATACT